AAAAGCGAAATGTAATCACTTTAATAGACTCTCAAACTACATAAAAACATAATTGATTTATTATTTTATTATGTAATTTGATAATTATATAAACAAATGCATTAACTTTTCAAAGTTGTTTTTTGGTAAAAGCGCGCATTCAAGTATAAAAACAAGTTCCTGAGAAATAACTGTCGATGTTAATAATAATAATAAACTTCCGTTTCAAAACGGTGCAACAGAAATGATTTGAGTAAGAATCAGCAAAGTATATTTAATTAAATATAATCGATGTGAAGCCATCATTAAATTAATATTTGTGCTTTCTACAATCTTTCGTCAATCTACAAAGTGATACTTGTAGTTAATTATGAATTTGAAAACTGAGATTTAGCTATGCTGCAAAACAAATTACTTTAATAAATGAATGGGAACATTGAAGCCCGAGTGCATCAACCCTGAATCCAATTTAAATATTGAATAAACGTTGTAATATTTATAATGGCCAGCGAACTGTTAATACATTGTTAAATTCGTGTTAAGGAAATTGTTTATAATTGATAAAATCTAACCATAACGCTCTAGATTCTAAAATGACAGAAAACCCGTTAGAAGGAATGTTCCTTTCAAAGGTACGGTTTTTTCTCACAGGAAAATATCAAACGGCTGGCGTAGTTTTATAAGATTATTAACCTTTGTAACAAAGGTTTCACTGCATTTCAAGTTGCAGCACTGACATTTAATACTGCAGTTCTAGGTTTGTCGCAGCAATTTTTTCAGCACTGGCTGAAATAACATGAAGGTTAAATCTGAACAAACCGTGACTTTGCACACAACATTTACGCCCAGAATGAAGAATGATCGATTTGCATCAAGAAAATAGAAAATATTAAAAAATAGCATACTTTATGAAAGGAAACTATTAAAAAATGAAAACAAGATTAACAAAAGAAAAATATAAGAGAATGAAGCACTTGCCAGTCTGAAGTTTGTGATATGAATATGGTAAAAATGCATAGCCACTTCCTAGATCATCAATAGACGAAATATCATTATCAATTCCATTAATAGCAGTCGCAGTAAAAATCATTTTATAAACAACCCTGTACTTATGGCAAAGCATTTTAATCGGGCCATAAAAGTTCATATCTTTGTTTCCATATCAATATGGTGCGCCATACCGCCAATCATGGTTCAACAAACGATGTTTGGAGAATTTAGTAACATTTGTGAGGCATTTTTATCTTATCTGATCTGTCAACATCTACATATGTACCCACGTCAATTCTATTGTTTATATAGAACAATAATTA